GTCCTGCAGTTGTCAGTCGTGTCAGTCGTGTCCTGCAGTTTGTCGGTCGTGTCAGTCGTGTCCTGCAGTTTGTCAGTCGTGTCAGTCGTGTCCTGCAGTTTGTCGGTCGTGTCCTGCAGTTTGTCAGTCGTGTCCTGCAGTTTGTCGGTCGTGTCAGTCGTGTCCTGCAGTTTTTCGGTTGTGTTGGTCGTGTCCTGCAGTTTGTCGGTCGTGTCCTGCAGTTTTTCGGTCGTGTCAGTCGTGTCCTCCATTTTGTCGGTCGTTGTTTGCAGTTTGTCGGTCGTGTCAGTCGTGTCCTGCAGTGTCAGTTGTCGTGTCGTGTCGTGTCAGTCGTGTCCTGCAGTTTGTCGGTCGTGTCCTGCAGTTTTGTCGGTCGTGTCCTGCAGTTTGTCGGTCGTGTCAGTGTCGTGTCCTGCAGTTTGTCGGTCGTGTCAGTCGTGTCCTGCAGTTTGTCAGTCGTGTCAGTCGTGTCCTGCAGTTTGTCAGTCGTGTCAGTTCGTGTCCTGCAGTTTGTCAGTCGTGTCCTGCAGTTTGTCGGTCGTGTCCTGCAGTTTGTCGGTCGTGTCAGTCGTGTCCTGCAGTTTGTCGGTCGTGTCAGTCGTGTCCTCCATTTTGTCGGTCGTTGTTTGCTGTTTGTCGGTCGTGTCAGTCGTGTCCTGCAGTTGGTCAGTTGTGTCAGTGCATCTGTCAGTTGTCGGTCGTGTCCTGTGTGTCAGTCGTGTCCTGCAGTTTGTCGGTCGTGTCAGTCGTGTCCTGCAGTTTGTCGGTCGTGTCAGTCGTGTCGTGTCCTCAGTTTGTCAGTCGTGTCCTGCAGTTGTGTCCTGCAGTTTGTCGGTCGTGTCAGTCGTGTCCTGCAGTTTGTCGGTCGTGTCAGTCGTGTCCTGCAGTTTGTCAGTCGTGTCCTGCAGTTTGTCGTCGTGTCCTGCAGTTTGTCGGTCGTGTCAATCGTGTCCTGCAGTTTGTCGGTCGTGTCCTGCAGTTTGTGTCGGTTGTGTCGGTCGTGTCAGTCGTGTCCTGCAGTTTGTCAGTCGTGTCCTGCAGTTTGTCGGTCGTGTCCTGCTGTTGTTCAGTCGTGTCCTGCAGTTTGTCGGTCGTGTCAGTCGTGTCCTGCAGTTTGTCAGTCGTGTCAGTCGTGTCCTGCAGTTTGTTGGTCGTGTCAGTCGTGTTTCCTGCTTTTGTGTCGTGTCAGTCGTGTCCTGCAGTTTGTCGGTCGTGTCAGTCGTGTCCTGCAGTTTGTCAGTCGTGTCGTTGTGTCCTGCAGTTTGTCGGTCGTGTCAGTCGTGTCCTGCAGTTTGTCAGTCGTGTCAGTTTGTGTCCAGCAGTTTTGTCAGTCGTGTCCTGCAGTTTGTCGGTCGTGTCCTGCAGTTTTGTCGGTCGTGTCAATCGTGTCCTGCAGTTTGTCGTTTCGTGTCGGTCGTGTCCTGCAGTTTTGTCAGTCGTGTCAGTCGTTTCCTGCTGTTTATCGGTCATGTCCTGCAGTTTGTCAGTCGTGTCAGTCGTTTCCTGCAGTTTGTCGGTCGTGTCCTGCAGCTTGTCGGCCGTGTCTTGCTGTTTTTCGGTCGTGTCCTGCAGTTTGTCGGCCGTGTCTTGCTGTTTTTCGGTCGTGTAGTCGTGTCCTCCATTTTGTCGGTCTTTGTTTGCAGTTTCTCGGTCGTGTCCTGCTGTTTGTCGGTCGTGTCAGTCGTGTCCTGCAGTTTGTCAGTTCGTGTCAGTCGTGTCCTGCAGTTTGTCGGTCGTATCCTGCAGTTTGTCGGTCGTGTCGGTTGTGTCCTGCAGTTTGTCAGTCGTGTCCTGCAGTTTGTCGGACGTGTCCTGCAGTTTGTCGGTCGTGTCAGTCGTGTCCTGCAGTTTGTCAGTCGTGTCAGTCGTCGTGTCAGTCGTGTCCTGCAGTTTGTCGGTCGTGTCCTGCAGTTTGTCAGTCGTGTCCTGCAGTTTGTCGGTCGTGTCCTGCAGTTTGTCGGTCGTGTCGTGCACTGCGTGTCTGCAGTTTGTCGGTCGTGTCAGTCGTGTCCTGCAGTCATGTCGTGTCAGTCGTGTCAGTCGTGTCCTGCAGTTTGTCGGTCGTGTCAGTCGTGTCCTGCAGTTTGTCAGTCGTGTCAGTTGTGTCCTGCAGTTTGTCAGTCATGTCCTGCAGTTTGTCGGTCGTATCCTGCAGTTTGTCGGTCGTGTCAATCGTGTCCTTCAGTTTGTCGGTCGTGTCCTGCAGTTTTTCGGTCGTGTCAGTCGTGTCCTCCATTTTGTCGGTCGTTGTTTGCAGTTTGTCGTTCGTGTCAGTCGTGTCCTGCAGTTTGTCAGTCGTGTCAGTCGTGTCCTGCAGTTTGTCGGTCGTGTCCTGCTGTTGTTCGGTCGTGTCCTGCAGTTTGTCGGTCGTGTCAGTGGTGTCCTGCAGTTTGTCGGTCGTGTCAGTCGTGTCCTGCAGTTTGTCAGTCGTGTCAGTCGTGTCCTGCAGTTTGTTGGTTGTGTCAGTTGTTTCCTGCTTTTTGTCGGTCATGTCCTGCAGTTTGTCGGTCGTGTCAGTCGTGTCCTGCAGTTTGTCAGTCGTGTCATTTGTGTCCTGCAGTTCGTCGGCCGTGTCAGTCGTGTCCTGCAGTTTGTCAGTCGTGTCAGTTGTGTCCTGCAGTTTGTCAGTCGTGTCCTGCAGTTTGTCGGTCGTATCCTGCAGTTTGTCGGTCGTGTCAATCGTGTCCTCGATTGTGTCGGTCGTGTCCTGCAGTTTGTCAGTCGTGTCAGTCGTTTCCTGCGTGTCTCCTGCAGTTTGTCGGCCGTGTCTTGCAGTTTTTCGGTCGTGTCCTGCAGTTTGTCGGCCGTGTCATGCTGTTTTTCGGTCGTGTCAGTCGTGTCCTCCATTTTGTCGGTCTTTGTTTGCAGTTTCTCGGTCGTGTCTTGCTGTTTGTCGGTCGTGTCAGTCGTGTCCTGCAGTTGGTCAGTTGTGTCAGTCATGTCCTGCAGTTTGTCGGTCGTGTCCTGCTGTTGTTCGGTTGTGTCCTGCAGTTTGTCGGTCATGTCAGTCGTGTCCTGCAGTTTGTCGGTCGTGTCAGTCGTGTCCTGCAGTTTGTCAGTCGTGTCAGTCGTGTCCTGCAGTTTGTCGGTCGTATCCTGCAGTTTGCCGGTCGTGTCGGTTGTGTCCTGCAGTTTGTCAGTTGTGTCCTGCAGTTTGTTCGGTCGTGTCCTGCAGTTTGTCCCGTCGTGTCCTGCAGTTTGTCAGTCGTGTCAGTCGTCCTCCTGTCGGTGTCTGCAGTTTGTCAGTCGTGTCAGTCGTGTCCTGCAGTTTGTGTCGTCGTCTGCAGTTTGTCGTTGTCAGTCGTGTCCTGCAGGTCGTGATGCAGTGTCGTCGTGTCCTGCAGTTTGTCGGTCGTGTCAGTCGTCCTGCAGTTTGTCAGTCGTGTCGGTGTTCCTGCAGTTTGTCAGTCATGTCCTGCAGTTTGTCGGTCGTGTCGGTCGTTTGTCAGGTGTCGTCCTGCAGTTTTTCGGTCGTGTCAGTCGTGTCCTCCATTTTGTCGGTCGTTGTTTGCAGTTTGTCGTTCGTGTCAGTCGTGTCAGTCCGTGTCAGTCGTGTCCTGCAGTTTGTCGGTCGTGTCCTGCTGTTGTTCGGTCGTGTCCTGCAGTTTGTCGGTCGTGTCAGTGGTGTCCTGCAGTTTGTCGGTCGTGTCAGTGTCCTGCAGTTTGTCAGTCGTGTCAGTCCGTGTCCTGCAGTTTTTGGTTGTGTCCAGTTGCTTTTGTCGGTCGTGTCAGTCGTGTCCTGCAGTTGTGTCGTCGTGTCAGTGTGTCTGCAGTTTGTCGGTGCGTGTCAGTCGTGTCCTGCAGTTTG